CTGGGAAGGAGGACGCCGACTGCCGAGCTCAGCCGTCAAGCCTCGAGGGTCTAGGGGGGGCGCTCTCGGCAGTTTGTCGGCCCCCTGTCGGGCCTCCGGGGGCCTCCGAAGCCTCGGGGGACCTTCGGGGGTCAGGATCTGGGGCGGGAGCAGACCTTTCCAGCGCCACCTATCTGGGTCACCTGACTTCGCGCATCGCGCCCCGCGGTGCGCGGCGCGCTCTGCGCCTCGCGCTGCCCACCTGGAGAAGGGCACCTCAGCGGCCCAGGCCGCCACACGCGGAGCACGGGCATCTTCGCACACGTGCTCCGGCTCTGGCCAGATCCTGTGCCCAGCATCGGTGCACACGCACTCCTGGCTCTGCCAGCAAGGCACACATACCCATCCTGGGCCCAAAATTGGCAGGCTCTTCAAGACGAGCATGCGCAGCGCTAAGGCGAGAACCGCACGCTGGACACACCCGCCCCCCATGCGCGTAACCGCTGCAAGGCTTACAGAAGGAATCTGAGCGACAACAAGACGAGAACCACATCCATCCGTGAAGACGCTACAAGCTTTTAGAAAGAAGTGCGCTACACTAATGCAAGGGCACATCTTGAGAACGACCCACCATTCATCCGTCTGTGTAGCTTTTGCTGTTTTCAAGCTTCAGGGTCTCTGGTAAGTTGAAAAATCTCAGGCGGAACACCTGGCCCGCCCTACCGACACGCCTGGTGCGAAGAGGAGATGAGATACTTGAGGGGAACAGGGATGGAGGTGAGGAGTCCCTTGCTCCTCCGCCTACTCCTCTGAAGGGGCTCTGGAGCCCAGAGAGAAGGTGGACTTCCCACATGCCAAAGTCGGAGTTTCTGCTCCGAGACGCGGTCATAGCACTGCGCTCCCTAGGGTCACACATGCTCCCTGGTTTCCGCACCTGTCCGTCGGCGGCCTGTCACCGCAGATCGATCAAACCACCCGCCGTCATCGGAAGCTGCCCAACTGAAGCAGATGAGGTCGCAGGACCGTGCCGCATCGCCGATGCACACAGCGGGGTGCCCAAGGTGACCCGGCCCGAAGATGCCCTCGGCTCTCCGCACCACTCTGGCGCCCCACGTGGCCTTCCGGGCCTCGGGAGCGGTGCTCTGCCAGCCATCTTGGCCTCCCTGGGAGTACTGGGGCCACGCTGCGCCAGAGTCAGCAGTGGCAACACCATGCAACACCCGATGAATCAGCGACGTCGGCATGGAGAAAGTCCAGCTCCGGACCGCGCCGCATCGCCGATGCACCGGCGATGCGGCGCGATCCTCCGGCCCCACAGTGCGGCGGGCCTGGGATGTCTCCGGATGCATACGCAGTCTCAGCGGGCCCCCGGAGGCTTGCTTCGGCCCAAGCCTCGACCCTCGATCATCCTAAGTTGCCTAACTTGATCCTCGCTCCTCGCTCCTCGATAACCCTCGACCATCCTCGATCATCCTCGAGCCTCGATCATCCTCGATCATCGGCCCCGCGGTGCGCGACGCGCAGCTCTCTTCGCGCCTCGCGCCGCTCACCTGGGGGTGGGCACCTCCGCGCCCCAGGCCGCGGCGCGCGAAGAGCACGGGCGTCGTCGCAGCACCCGGACGTCCCCCGGGCCTGGCTGGATCCTGGGCCCAGGCTCGGTGCAGTTGCGCCGTCGCGCCCCCCGCGAGGCCAGCCGCTCGACTACACGCAAGAGTGACCCTGGGTAAGAATGACCTTTGGTGCGCGGCTCTTTGGGGTCCGCGGGGGGGCCAAACACAGGCGCGCAAGACGCCACTGCCGCCTCGCGCTCGGCGATCGGGGGACCCCATTGGGCCCGCACCAAAGGTCACTCTGGCGAAAGGTCACTCTTACGTCTAGGCCAGCCTTGCAGAAGGGCGGCCGCCCTGGTCCCGGCCGCGGCGCGCGAGGCACGAGCCTCTGCGCGCGCCCGCGGGCGGCCTGGATCCCCGGCCCTCGACCCTTCGGCGCCACCGGGGCGCACCTGGGAGAGAAGGGCAGCTCCCCGGGCCCGGGCCACGACGTGCGAAGCGCGACCACAGCAGGCACACACGACAAAGACCTCCTCCTCCTCCTCCTCCTCCTCCTCCTCCTCCTCCTCCTCGTTCTCCTCCTCCTCCTCCTCCTCCTCCCTCCTCCTCCTCCTCCTCCTCCCTCCTCCTTCGCTCTCCTCCTTTGCTCTCCTCCCCCTCCTCCTCCTCCTCCTCCTCCTCCTCCTCCTCCTCCTCCTCCTCCGTAGCCATTTTGGCTCAAGATGGGTTGCTCGGGGGGCTTTCAGCCTCCGTGCTTCACTGGATCGCACTACCGTGCGCAGGCAAGAGTGTGTGCACTCTGGCAGTCGGGCGGCCTCCTTCCAAACTCACGCGCGCCATGGCGGGCAGCGGCGGCGTGGGTGCTGGGCGTGGAGGAGGACGTGCGGCGTGGCCTGCGAAGTGGAAGTGCTCGGTGTGCGACTACTACAACTTCGCCGAGCGGACGTGCTGTCGCAAGGGGTGCCAGCCACTGGGGTGGCCAGCGCCGCGGCAGCTGGGCGCCTTTCCTCCGCTGCGTGGGTGGAATGCAGGTGGCGGCGGTGGTGGTGCTCCTGGCGGCGCTGGCGGCGGGCTCGGCGGGCGTGGGGCTGGCGGCGGCAAGCCTCCCACTCGGGCCCCGTGGTGGCGTGGTGGAGAAGGTGGCGGCCGTGACGCTGGAGGCGCCGTGGTGCTCAGTGAGGAGCAGCGCTGTGGCTTCGTGTGCATGGCAGAGGCCGACTTCGCCCTCGCCGCCGCGCTCCTGCCCCCGAAGGTCCGCGAGCAGCTGCTGCAGGCGCGGAGGCTGCGTGAGGGCGGACTGGGGGCCGAGCTTTCCAAGGACAAGACGGTCAAGGCGGCCCAGGTGCTGGCGGACGCCAAGGTCGTGCAGGTCAAGAAGTTGGAGGGCCAGCTGGAGCAGGCGAAGGCCAAGGCGGTGGCAGCCATCAACGAGTCGGCCAGCCTCGCAGACAAGTTGGTGCTGCTGCGGAAGGAGTGCGACGAGGCGGCGGCCAAGGCACGGGAGGCGCTGGCGGCTCAGCGCGCCAGGTTGGCGGCCGAGGAGGCTGAGGCGGTGGCAGCTGCCGCCGAGCCGAGAGCAGCACCAGCGGCCTCCCTGGAGTCGATTCAGGAGGCGATCGGCCGCCTGTCGAGGGACGAGATCGCGAAGCTCGGGAAGGTGCTGGCGGAGCTCAGTGGCTTGCCTGGAGCTGCCGCCGCTGCGGGGGCGCCACCCCGTGCGCCTGTGGCTGCGGCGGTCCCCGTGCCATCGGCGGTGCCTGCAGCTGCGCAGCAGGGGGACGCCCCCAAGGAGGAGGCACCTGGCGTGTCGCAGGCGGCGGCGCAGGTGTGGCAGGACATCGCGTGTGGCATGGAGGACCCCGCCAAGAGGGAAGCAGCCGAGCAGCTGCTGGGTGACGCCAAGAAGATGCGGACGGAGGTCAAGCAGATGGAGGAGGAGTCCTAGCATGAAGTGCGGGGTCTGGAGGATCTGCACGGTCAACGTCAATGCGTTCTGCAACCTGGGCAAGTGCAGGGCGGTGAGCGAGGTGCAGGACTGCGACGCCATTCTGGTCCAGGAGACGAGGCTCCTGGAGGGCAGGAGCAATGACGCGGAGGCGCAGCTGCGGAGTCAAGGATGGAGGGCGAGAGGCACGCCCGCGGTGCCGTCAGCGGCAGGAGGCCTCAGCACAGGAGGGCTCCTCACAATGGTGAGGAGGAGCCACGGCATGGCGGAGGTGCAGGACCAGCAGGCAGCGGTGCTGGTGGCTGGGCGAGTGCACCTGTGTTGGGTGTCAGGCGTGCTGCGCAGCGGCTTCCTGCTCGCCAACATCTACCTGGAGGCGGGGGTCGGCCTCAACGACAGCAACGTGTCCAGCCTCAGGAGGCTGGCAAGGAGGTTGAGGCAGTGCCGCAGGGATTTCGTAGTGGGCGGCGATTGGAACCTCACGGAGGAGGAGCTGCAGGCAGGCGGGGTGCCCGACATGTTCGATGGCAAGGTGGTCAGGCCTGCATCGCCCACGTGCGCAGCATCAGGGAGGACCATCGACTTCTTCCTGGTTTCCAAGGGGCTGGCTGCGTTGGGGGTGCGGGTGGTGGAGGCCTCGCCAGTGTACCCGCACTCGGCTGTGATTCTCGAGATCCGCAGGCAGCAGGAGGAGGAGCGCTTCAGGCTGGTCCAGAAGCCGCGGACCTTTCCTGAGGTTCGACCACAAGGGTGCTGTGAGAGGGACCACGGCAGCAGGTGGAGGCAAGCCAGGCTGAGGGTGCGGGAGCAGCTCGCCTCGGTGCTGAAGTTCGAGGGCGAGGCCGCGGCGAGGAGCACCCCACGCGCTGAGGATGAGGCCCCTCAGCCCAGCAGCAATGGTGGTGCAGCAGGGCAGCGTGCAGCGGGTCAGGAGCCCCCCAGGCCAGCGAAGGGCACGGGAGATGAGGGGATGGCTGCGGCGGAGAGATGGGGGCCGCTGAGCAGCGTGCTCCCGATCGCACCTGCGCCACCGGCCTGCGTGACGGAGGTGAACCTGATGAGGTGCTGCGTCCAGCATGGAGAGGAGTGGCAGAGCATCCTCGGCAGCTGCGGGCTAAGGCGAGAAGCTGGCGCGGAAGGACACGGCGCAGCACCAGGTGGTGAGGACCAGCCAGCGCACCTCGGGGCCCTGGCGCCAGGAGCGCAAGGCGCCGACGCAGCGGGCAGAGGGGGCAGCGACGCTGCGGGCAGCGCTGCGCAGGAGGAGCGGGCGGACATGCCTCCCCATGCTGGGACTGGCAGTGCACCTCCGAGCCAGGCACTGTACGGAATCGCAGGTTGGCCCTTTCAGGTTGATGCGGCTGAAGGAGTACACGTGAGACCCCCCAGCCTCTGGGTCGAGGAGAGGCAGGCGACCTCTGCCGCCGAGGAGGAGGCCGCTCAGCCCAGCAGCAGCGGTGCAGCACCTAGCGGCGAGGTCCAGCCAGCGCACCTCGGGGCTCGGGCGCCAGGAGCGCATGGAGCCG